ACAGCAGTGAACAGTGCCGTTGAACAGCAGCAAACAGTGCTACTGAACGGCAGTGAACAATGCTTCTAAACAGCAGTGAACAGTGCTACTGAACAGCAGTGAACAGTGCTACTGAACAGCAGTGAACAGTGCTACTGAACAGCAGTGAACAATGCTTCTAAACAGCAGTGAACAGTGCTACTGAACAGCAGTGAACAGTGCTACTGAACAGCAGTGAACAGTGCTACTGAACAGCAGTGAACAATTCTTCTAAACAGCAGTGAACAGTGCTACTGAACAGCAGTAAACAGTGCTACTGAACAACAACAAACAGTGCTACTGAACAACAGCAAACAGTGCTACTGAACAACAGTGAACCCACTCATGTGAGGTGAAATTCAACAACTAGCAATATTTAACAAACATGATATCTAAACACCTGTTTAAAATACATAAAACACACACACAAGAAATAAACATTGAGAGAACGACTAGAGATGAAGAAGTATATATCAGTTAACGAACTGAATTCGAGATTAAGTCCCCCATCCCTTTTATGAGTTGTGAGAATTGTTATTATGTGTTTTATGAGGGGTGGGAGGGGAGGTTTATGAGGGGAGGGGGTAGAAGGGGAGGTTTATGAGGGGAGGGTGGCCGTTTAGGGCGAGGTAGGGAGGGAGAGGAAGGTAAGAGAGAGATATAGGTAGGGAGAGAAGATAGGAGTCATATGGGTAGACAGAAAGGGGTTGGGTAATTAAGAGGAGAAAGCGCTTGGTTAATATAACTAACTGGCATGTGGAAGGGATACGAGGACAAATAGCTGAGATACGAGGACAAGGAACGGGGATATGAGGACAAGGAACGGGGATGTGAGGACAAATAGCTGAGATACGAGGACAAGGAACTGGGATACGAGGACAAATAGCTGAGATAAGAGGACAAATAACTGAGATACAAGGACAAGGAACTGGGATATTAGGACAAATAGCTGAGATACGAGGGACAAGGAACTGGGATACGAGGACAATTAGCTGAGATACGAGGACAAGGAACTGGGATATTAGGACAAATAGCTGAGATACGAGAACATGGAACTGAGATACGAGGACAAGGAACTGGGATACGAATGAGGAGGAAAACCATCTGGGATATGGAGGGGACATACTATTTCGAACAGATAAAATTGCAGTCTTTTGTTTGAACGAATTGGAACAATAAACTACGTTATGTCACTGACAATTTATAAAAAAAAAAAAAGTCTCATTATTTTTTTTTTCTTTTCGGTGACCTGGAGCTTGGAGAATTTGTGTGAAAATATTTACTACCATGAAAACATTAAATATTTGAAATTTTGAAAATCATCAAAGGACAATTGAGACGCTTTTCAAGCTGTATATTGTATAAAAATATTATCAAAATGCTATGAAAATTAAAATAATGAGTTTAGCACATAAATGATATTTAAATATTTTTATTTTTCTAGCCAAAAAAAAAGTCTCGCTAAAACTGATCAATAATACTATTGGTGCCATTGACTACCAGTGCCAGTAGGGAGTAGGGGGGGGGTAGTGCCAGTATGGGGGGAGAGGTCAGGAAGGTGTAGATGAGGGGAGGGGGGAGGTTTAAGTAAAGATTTTGATGAATAAATGGAACAGTTCACACTTCAAAATGTGTGTATAACCTCACCGCCTGACACGACATGACATGACATGACTTGACATGACATGACATGACATGACACCATGAAGGTACAAACGGACTAGCAAATATGTCTGCCAGTTTTGATGCACTTTTCCCAACGTTCCCTTGCACAGTGTGATCGTTAGTTGCTACTGGAGTGTAGTTCAAGACTTCTGGTCTATCTCCGTCGCTGGATATTGGTCTTGCATTGTCTGTGTGTGTGTGTGTGTGTGTGTGTGTGTGTGTGTGTGTGTGTGTGTGTGTGTGTGTGTGTGTGTGCGTATGCGTGTGTGTGTGTGTTATCTTTAGTGATTAACATATAAGTGAACACGTCGAGGAGATAATGAAATCATTTGCAGTACGGGGTCTCCAGGAAGCCTCTCTGCAGGCAGCTGCAGGAAGTGCTTAATGCCGCAATACTCCCGTGGATGCTGCTGGTGTGGGCTCAGACTCCATCACCTGCTTCAACACATATGTGGGGGGAGGAGAGGGACCGATGGGGGAGGGGAGAGCATGGTGATATCACTGAACTGTGCTTGCATATATATATATATATATATATATATATATATATATATATATATATATATATATATATATATATATATATATATATATATATATATATATATATAACTGAAAACTCACACCCCACAAGTGACTCAAACCCATACTCCCAGGAGCAACGCAACTGGTATGTACAAGACGCCTTAATCCACTTGACCATCACGACCGGACATAATGAGGTGATAGCCGAGGCTATTTGAACCACCCCACCGCCGGCACTCGGATAGTAATCTTGGGCATAGCATTTTACCAAATCACCTCATTCTTTGGGGCACACGTGAGGAACACAAATGCGAACAAACCTGAATGGTCCCCAGGACAATATGCAACTGAAAACAAAAAGTGCATCAAAACATATATATATATATATATATATATATATATATATATATATATATATATATATATATATATATATATATATATATATATCGTACTTAGTAGCCAGAATGCACCTCTCGGCTCTCTATGCAACGCCCGATTTGCCTATTAGGCCGAGACATTTTCTTTATTTTAACAAAATTTATTGCATTTGGTTTATTTTAATTATTATTAGTATATTATATTAAGAATATAAATTATTGACTTAGTTATGTTATGTTAGGTTAGGTTAGGTTAGGTTAGGTAGGGTTGGTTAGGTTCGGTCATATATCTACGTTAGTTTTAACTCGTATTAAAAAAAATAAACTGCTTCATAATGAAATAGATAGCTCTATCATTTCATAAGAAAATAAATACAAAATATATAAATCTAGGAAAACTTGGCTTATTAGGCAAGTATTCAGATGCAGACGATGAGTCACAATAACATGGCTGAAGTATGTTGACCAGACCACACACTAGAAGGTGAAGGGACGACGACGTTTCGGTCCGTCCTGGACCATTCTCAAGTCGATCAATAGGCAAGTATTGATTGTATGGTAGAGATGAACAATGATTGTTTGGTGTATGGGGCAAGAAGTATGGTGAATTGAATGGTGAAAAATGTGGGGAGAAGTAATGGAATTGTGTGGGAAAATGGTCTGGTTATGAAATTGAAAAAGGGGGTGGGTAATGGTGGGTTATGTTGGGCCATTGTGGGTTATGGTTGGTTAAGGTGACTTATGGTGGGTTATAGTGAGTTATAGTGGGTTGTGGTGGGTTGTGGAAGCTGAAGGACTGTGAGCAAGGCGAGGTGTTGTGGGGGTGGACAAGGGTCAGTATGAAGATGGGGAGATAGATATATAGGTGTTAGGAATCAGGGGAGCAGGTGGGGGAGGGGACAAGAGGGGGAGGTGGGCGTCAGGGGGTGGGGTTCTATACAGTGAAATAGGAACAAAGGACCCCTGGACGAAGCGAGGGGCGCATATCTGATTTCATTAGTTTGTTGTTATTAGCACCAGAGAGGCAGTGGGTCGCCCTGCCTGGTGGAGCATGAGAGGCAGTGGGTCGCCCTGCCTGGTGGAGCATGAGAGGCAGTGGGTCGCCCTGCCTGGTGGAGCATGAGAGGCAGTGGGTCACCTTCCCTGGTGGAGCATGAGAGGCAGTGGGTCGCCCTGCCTGGTGGAGCATGAGAGGCAGTGGGTCACCTTCCCTGGTGGAGCATGAGAGGCAGTGGGTCGCCCTGCCTGGTGGAGCATGAGAGGCAGTGGGTCGCCCTGCCTGGTGGAGCATGAGAGGCAGTGGGTCGCCCTGCCTGGTGGAGCATGAGAGGCAGTGGGTCGCCCTGCCTGGTGGAGCATGAGAGGCAGTGGGTCACCTTCCCTGGTGGAGCATGAGAGGCAGTGGGTCGCCCTGTCTGGTGCAGCATGAGAGGCAGTGGGTCGCCCTGCCTGGTGGAGCATGAGAAGCAGTGGGTCGCCCTGTCTGGTGGAGCATGAGAGGCAGTGGGTCACCCTGCCTGGTGGAGCATGAGAGGCAGTGGGTCGCCCTGCCTGGTGGAGCATGAGAGGCAGTGGGTCGCCCTGCCTGGTGGAGCATGAGAGGCAGTGGGTCGCCCTGTCTGGTGGAGCATGAGAGGCAGTGGGTCACCCTGCCTGGTGGAGCATGAGAGGCAGTGGGTCACCCTGCCTGGTGGAGCATGAGAGGCAGTGGGTCGCCCTGCCTGTGGAGCATGACAGGCAGTGGGTCACCTTCCCTGGTGGAGCATGAGAGGCAGTGGGTCGCCCTGCCTGTGGAGCATGAGAGGCAGGTGTCGCCCTGCCTGGTGGAGCATGAGAGGCAGTGGTCACCTTCCCTGGTGGAGCATGAGAGGCAGTGGGTCACCCTGCCTGGTGGAGCATGAGAGGCAGGGGTCACCATGCCTGGTGGAGCATGAGAGGCAGGGGTCACCATGCCTGGTGGAGCATGAGAGGCAGGGGTCACCATGCCTGGTGGAGCATGAGAGGCAGGGGTCACCTTGCCTGGTGGAGCATGAGAGGCAGGGGTCACCATGCCTGGTGGAGCATGAGAGGCAGGGGTCACCATGCCTGGTGGAGCATGAGAGGCAGGGGTCACCATGCCTGGTGGAGCATGAGAGGCAGGGGTCACCTTGCCTGGTGGAGCATGAGAGGCAGTGGGTCACCCTGCCTGTGGAGCATGAGAGGCAGGGGTCACCATGCCTGGTGGAGCATGAGTGGCAGTGGGTCGCCATGCCTGGTGGAGCATGAGAGGCAGTGGTCACCTTCCCTGGTGGAGCATGAGAGGCAGTGGGTCACCCTGCATGTGGAGCACGAGAGGCAGGGGTCACCATGCCTGGTGGAGCATGAGAGGCAGTGGGTCGCCCTGCCTGGTGGAGCATGAGAGGCAGGGATCACCTTGTCTGGTGACCTTGTTTTGTCGTTCCCGTCGTTCCTGTCGTTCCCGTCGTTCCCGTAGTTTCTGTCGTTCCTGTCGTTCCTGTCGTTCCCGTCGTTCCCGTCGTTTCTGTCGTTCCCGTCGTTCCAGTTGTCGTTCCCGTCGTTCCCGTCGTTCCCGTAGTTTCTGTCGTTCCTGTCGTTCCCGTCGTTCCCGTCGTTTCTGTCGTTCCCGTCGTTCCAGTTCCCGTTCCTGTCGTTCCCGTCGTTCCCGTCGTTCCTGTCGTTCATCACCCAGCGCCCCTCTTCACCCACCACCGTTGGGTTATGCTGTTACTCAGAATTATTTGTCATCACTTAAAATTTCAGACGGCATTTTCCAAACGCTTCAACTCTTTCTAAATGACTACTGCAAGCGACAATGAGCTTTAATGTCACTCGGGACAAGGGCCAAAGCTGCTGGCAACACTGTAGTATCAGAGTGGAAAACTAGAAGGGAAGACTCGTTTAATTTATGACGTCACTGAACACAATTAGGAACGGTAAACTGAGCTTAAGCTGAACAAAGTTAGAGACGGAAGGCTCAGCATAAGTATACGTAAGCATTACAGTACTGGAGCCCGCTACAGTTATATCCATACAGCGATACATAGCTCGGGTGACATACCACGAGGAGGAAGCAATGAGTCCACTTCTAAACGCTGTTTTAATATCGCAGTGTTTTCTGTGTTTAAATGCGTGCTAAATCCATGAGGCTTCATTAAACAACACAATTCTTTCAGCTTTTAGTAGGAAATATAAAATGTGTTACTGTGAACGGTGTCCGTTTCAAACATAAATATAAACCCAGTTCTGGTGACTGTGAGGCTGCTAGCTTTATATTTATTCTGAAAAACTAATACTGGTTTTTGTTCTCCATTACGGCAAATGAAAAGAAAGCGATTGTTTGGAAATCTTAAGGATTATTTTAACGATTGAAATTCTTTCAGAAAAAAATGAGTCTTAAGATAACTGCACATAAGGGTGTGTTCCCAGTCCGCTATGGTGGTAATCCTCGCTGCATTTAGCTGTCCGTCCTCATAAACAAAGGCTAAATGCTCGTTAATCCACCCGCCAAACCCCTTGTTTATGAACGAAAAACGGTTAACACACACATGACATTCGAACATTTCTCGAACAATGCTTGGCTAACGACCTCTGTTCGAACCACAACGTTGTAAATGCTTCACCCACGTACTACAAATACAAATAGTTGCCAGTAAAGCCTAAAAACTTAACTTAATTTAGCCTTTACACCAAACTCAAATATATACAATAATGTTAATTTATATATGGTGAGGACGAGCGGGGTGAAAACAATGCTGCAGCCATGGTCTTCCAGTCTAGCAATGTACAAACCTGTAATATTTAATATATGATAATAGTAGTAGGCATCCATCAGTCTCAGGAGACTATGGAGTTGCGCTCTGGTTGTCGGACTGGAGTGGCCTCACCGGGGCGCAAAGCCAGGGTAGGTTGATTCGGGGAAGAAGCTGTTACCCAGGCAGCAGGTCCCCCCCCCTCTCCACGGCGCTGAAAGTCTCCAATGGAAAGGCATACGCCAATACGATTGGTTCCAGCGCCGTATATATGATAATAATAATTGATAAATTTGGTGGAACAGTGTGGTGGTGGAGTGGAACTGTGAATTTGGAGGGACACTGTGAAGGATGAGTAGTTGTGTTCATCACAGCCAGAGTAATCCCTTGTTTTATTTGTCGTCAGAGATGATCTAATATGTCATATTAACTGTCAGAGATGGTCTAACTTGTCATATTAACTGTCAGAGATGGTCTAACTTGTCATATTAACTGTCAGAGATGGTCTAACTTGTCATATTAACTGTCAGAGATGGTCTAACTTGTCATATTAACTGTCAGAGATGGTCTAACTTGACATATTAACTGTCAGAGATGGTCTAACTTGACATATTAACTGTCAGAGATGGTCTAACTTGTCATATTAACTGTCAGAGATGGTCTAACTTGTCATATTAACTGTCAGAGATGGTCTAACTTGACATATTAACTGTCAGAGATGGTCTAACTTGACATATTAACTGTCAGAGATGGTCTAACTTGACATATTAACTGTCAGAGATGGTTTAACTTGACATATTAACTGTCAGAGATGGTCTAACTTGACATATTAACTGTCAGAGATGGTCTAACTTGACATATTAACTGTCAGAGATGGTCTAACTTGACATATTAACTGTCAGAGATGATCTAACTTGACATATTAACTGTCAGAGATGGTCTAACTTAACATATAAACCGTCAGAGATGGTCTAACTTGACATATTAACTGTCAGAGATGGTCTAACTTGACATATTAACTGTCAGAGATGATCTAACTTGACATATTAACTGTCAGAGACGGTCTAACTTAACATATAAACCGTCAGAGATGGTCTAACTTGACATATAAACCGTCAGAGATGGTCTAACTTGACATATAAACCGTCAGAGACGGTCTAACTTGACATATAAACCGTCAGGAACAGTCTATTTTGACATATTTACCATCTAAGATCCTCTCATTTAAAATAAAACATTGAACCTCAGAGAGAGACTCGGCTCCATCGCGACAACAACAGTGAACCGTTTTAACACAGTTACAAATGACAGATGAAACATATTTCCCAGCTATCAGCTTAATCTCAGTTACGTATTCAAGCTTCCCGAGGCAGTATAAAACGGAACACGCGAACGCAGCTTCAACAATACGGTTGGATTAGCGTTTTTTCCCTAATGTTGTTTGGTGATGGGCCAATCACAAGGGGGGGGGGCGGCGTGGCGGGCTGGGGATTTTTTTTGTTTTTCATTTTTACAATCGTTCATGCGAATACAATCAAACAAGAACAAACAAACAGAACACAAATACAAAAGCACAAAACAAAGAAGGACAAATACACTAAATCCAGGCCTGAAGGGTCGACAACAAGAACCAAACACAATGCAAGATAGTAGGAAAAAGAACAGTGCAAGACGTTTCGTTCAAGTTTAAGCGTACAGGCAAGCATGCGTGGGAGCATGGGAGTCGGTCGGCCGAGCGGACAGCACGCGGGACTTGTGATCCTGTGGTCCTGGGTTCGATCCCAGGCGCCGGCGAGAAACAATGGGCAGAGTTTCTTTCACCCTATGCCCCTGTTACCTAGCAGTAAATAGGTACCTGGGTGTTAGTCAGCTGTCACAGGCTGCTTCCTGGGGGTGGAGGCCTGGTCGAGGACCGGGCCGCGGGGACACTAAAAGGCCCCGAAATCATCTCAAGATAAGATGTGTAAGGCAAACAGATTACAATAATCACAAAGGCACAAAGTTGCAAAGTACAAAGGCAAAAAGTTATAAAGGACAAAGGCACAAAGGTAGAAAGTACAAACGCATAGTTATAAAGCACAAAGACACAAAGTTATAAATTACCAAATACACAAAAGATCGGCCTGAAGAGCCGACAACAAAAGCAATAGGCACAGCAGCACAGCAGTACAGCAGTACAAAGACAAAATACCCAAACCCGCACCCAACAACCCAACCCGTGAAACAACACAAAACAAGTCAACTGGCTCCGAAAACCACACGGAGAGGTACAAATACATAACTACAACAAATTAAATAAAAGGCACGCACGCACGCAACCACACCCCACGCACACAACCACACCCCACGCACACAACCACACCCCACGCACACAACCACACCCCACGCACACAACCGGACACAACACCACAACACATAGCACACACACAAAAAAAAATCACTTAAAAGGAGGAAACTCGCCAGTGGGAGGCGAATATTTCTCAGGAAAATCATGCGGAGGATATTTCTGCTTATAAGCTTCCCACACTAAGTACTCCCTGTCGGTAGGACAACGATCCCCCTGCTTCATGGGGGTGTGCAGGAACTCGGGAACCACCAGATCAGGCGGAAGTGGCAGCACCCGGAGCCACGCGGCAGAAGTCGCATAACGAGGGAAGGCAGAGCGAAGAGAGGCAGAAGACACGGAAGAAGCGGACGCAGGCCTCCGAGACGGCCCCGCCGCCGGACGCACAGGAGAAGACGACTTAGGCCGCCGAGACGGCAACCCCACACCCGACACCGCAGGAGACGCAGTAGAGACGGTCGGAGACGGGAGAAGTGGCAAAACCGCCTCCGATGAACCAGGGGACAAAGCTGGGGGCACGGAACCCACAGAGCGAGCAGTCTTCTTGAACACCACCACCAGGTCACGACGCTCACCAGCAGGAGGAACCACCTCCCCACGCAGAACCGGAACCATCCGACGCAGGCGACGCATCGGAAGCAAGCTCCACAGGCACCTCACTAGAAGAAACATCGACACTGGCAGCCGCAGGCACATGGACCTCCGCCACCATCGAGGAATGCGACGCAACCGAAACCTCACCACCGTCACTGGAAGACCCACGATCGTCGAATTCACCCGCATCAAGAACGCTTGGGCACCGGCCGCACATCATCAGAGCTTGTCGACCCAGACCCAGAACAACCTGGGTGCACGGCGAGGGTGCAGTGACAGGCACCACAGACGAAGAACAGGAAGACGGGGGAGTCGTGCAGACTGGAGGCGGAAGAACCACGGGAGTATCCAGGACAGCAGCTGGTGTAGGACGAACACCCGACGGCGACACAATCCCCTGAAGAGAGGCAACCGCAACAGGCGACACAGCCTCCGGAGGAGGGGCGACATCAGCAGGAGGTGCATCAGGCGACACACGGGGAGGGGGGGGGGCACGGCAGCAGCCAAAGAGTCGTCCACATCCACAGCCACCGAATCCTCCTCCACAGGGAGCGGCAGGAAATCCTCCTCACGGAAGAGGTTGACGGGCGCGACGGCAGGTTCAGAGCTCCCAGCAGCCTGATGGTCCAAGAGGCTACAACGGTAACACTTACGGGGTTGACGAGCATAAAACACCCGAACAGAACACCCCAGAAGCTTCACTTGAGATGAAATGTCCGCCCGCAGCCTCATTCCTAGGGTGCGAATATTTGACCGCACACCCTTAAGCGGACCCGAGGAGAGCAGATGCAACCACACACTGACGACCGCCCCAAACTGGCCGAAATAACGCCTCAACAGCCCCTCCGGAAATTCCAGGGGCGCCCCATGCACCCTTACATACGTGACGGCACCACTGCGATCAGAGACAGTCACAGTGCCTGCACCTTCGAGCAGGGGCAAGGTCCGCCCCTCGTAACGACGTAAAAACGCCCTATACACCTCCTCCGTCGTTAGTTTAACAATCACCCTACGGGAAGTCACCAGCTCAACACCATAAATATCCCCCACAGGGACCCACAGCATGTCACACAGTACCAATCCCACCTCAGAATATCCCGCTCGAGCAGAAAACTCGAGGCCTATAGACTGGGCACGCACAACAGGGGGGAGGGGGGCCCCCATGGCGCCGACACGCCAAACAGCACCCGCCCCCTGGCAACTCCAGGCAGCAACTGGCAGGTTAGGCGAGCACGTCTGAACCCCCTGCCGGCCAATGAGGCAATCCGGGCTAGGGAAATAGCACCTACGCGATTTCAAACGACCGTAGCGGTCCGGAAACTGAAGGCGGGTCCCAATTGGACACACTATCCAAGAGCAACAGAGGGTCTATGTTGATTCGAAAATGGTTCAACGTTGATTTATACGTCGAAGGTACGTCACACCATCGACGTTGTCTCCACTGGGTGTGGTTGTCGGACGTCGTAAGGCGATGCCCCGCCAAACACACGACGAAACTACGACGTTGGTACAACGTGAGAACAAGATTTTAACATCTCGTAACAAGTTGTAACAACGTCCAAAAACGTCGTAAAAACGTTATAACAAGACGTAACAAGGTCCAAAAACATCATAGACACGTTA